CTGTCTGTAGTCCCAGCTACTTGGGAGGCTGAGGCAAGAGAATCACCTAAGCCCAAGAGGTGGAAGTTGCTGTGAGCTGTGGTGCCACAGCATTGTACTGAGGGCAACAGAATGAGACTCTGTTTCAAAAAAAACAAAAGAAGGGAAACGTTTCAGATCAGATGAAACAAAATTGACTATTGTTGCTAACAGGTTGCTAATTATTGAAGTTCAGCCAAAGCAAGACCCCCGTCTCTAAAAATAGTGGGGCTGTTGTGGCAGGCGCCTGTAGTTCCAACTACTTGGGAGGCTAAGAAAAGAGAATTGCTTAAGCCCAGGAGTTTGAGATTGCTGTGAGCTATGACGCCATAGCACTCCTACCAAGAATGATAAAATGAAACTCTGTCTCAAAAAAATAAATAAATAAAGGAGGGTAAATATAAGTACATACCTATAAAAGTAAAAGCATGTGTATGTGCATGTATGCACATGTTAGACTTAGAACATGTATATGTGTGTGCATATGTTAGACTTAGAACAGAATTTAAGAAGGAGAATAGTGGTGGGGTGAGGTAGCTCATGCCTATAGTCCTAGTAATCTGGAGGTGAGGAGGGAGGATCACTTGAGCTTGGGAGTTTGAGACCAGTCTGAGCAAGATCAAGACACCCATCTCTACTAAAAAATAGAAAAATTAGCAGGGCATCATGGCAAACAGCATAGTCCTAGCTACTTGGGAGGCTGAAGCAGGAGGATGGCTTGAACCCCCCAGGAATTGGAGGTTGCCATGAGCTATGACACCCCAGCATTCTACCCAGGGTAACAGAGTTAGACTCTTGTCTCAACAAAAAAAATAGTAAAACTTGTACTCCTATCCCAAAGAAAATCCGTAAAGAAATGAAAAGATAGGGTGGCGCCTGTGGCTCAGTGGGCAGGGCGCCGGCCCCATGTACCAAGGGTGGCAGGTTCAAACCCGGCTCAGGCCATACTGCAATTAAAAAAAAAAAAGAAATGAAAAGATAGGCCACAGACTGAGAAATGTAATTTGTAAGTGTATCATTAACAATCGATTATTATCTAGAATATGTAAAGAACTTTAACAGATTAGCAAGGAAAAGATAACAGTATAAAAATAGCCAGTAGATATTAAAATAAAAGTCACGGCAGAGGAATCTCAATAGCCAATAAACATGAAAGATATTAAGGCCAAGCAAGGTACCTCACACCTGTAAACCCAGCACTTTGGGAGGCCAAGGTTAGAGGATCACTTGAGGCCAGGAATTCAAGACCAATCTGGGCAACATAATGAGACTATGTCTCTACAAATTATAAAACAATTTTAAAAAATTTTTAAAAAGAAAAATATTCAGACTTATAATCAAGGAACTGTACGTTAAAACTCCAATGAGGGCAGTGAACACAGCCCTCATACACCCAGGCTGGCGGGTTTGAACCCGACCCAGCCAAGCTAAACAAAAAGACGACTGCAACAAAAAAATAGCTGGGTTGTGGTGCCTGTAGTCCCAGCTACTTGGGAAGCTGAGGCAAGAAAATCGCTTAAGCCCAAGAGTTGGAGGTTGCTGTGAGCTGTGATGTTACAGCACTCTACCGAGGGCGGCATAATGAGACTCCATCTTAAAAAAAAAGAACACTCCAATGAGATGACCATTTTATAATCATTAGGCAAAAGTTAGCAGTTTGCAGTTATCTATCAGAATAACAAATGAATATACCTATTGATCTGCTTTTAGGAAATTAACTTACAGATACAGTTACTTGTGGGAAATGAGTCATGTACATAAGTACTCAATTCTGCATTATTTATAGTAGCAAAATAATGGAAACATTCTGAATAGCTGTCAGTTTGTGTCTGGTTAAATAAGTTATGGAAATTGTCGTAGAGAGACACAGAGACTTCTTTGTATGTGCTGGAATGGAATTAATTTAATATAGGTTAAGTGAAAGCAAAGGGCAAAAGAATGTATTAAATGCTCTCTTTTGTGTTATAGAAAAAGAAAGGTAATATATGCTTGTGCTTTTAATGTGTATAGACTAAGGAGAGGAGCAAGGGTGAATAGACAGGTAATTTTTACATAATATACCAGTAAAAATTTTAAGCTGATATCTGTGATATTTGTTTAAGAAAGTAGTGAATAATTGTTACTGTATTTTAAAACATAGGATCTGAGGTGGCACCTGTGGCTCAGTGAGTAGGGTGCCGGCCCCATATACCGAGGGTGGCGGGTTCGAACCTGGCCCTGGCCTAACTGCAACAACAACAAAAAAATAGCCAGGCATTGTGGCGGGCGCCTGTAGTCCC